CACCTATATAAGTTGTGAGAAACCCAAGGGTTAGGAGATTATTATTTGATTTAAGCTAGCATAAGTAACCAAAATTGCAGCAATGCAACTAGGAACCATATTAGCGCATGGATCGGCATCTTCAAGTGAGACTACTTGAGGATGGGGAAATCATAACTCTTTAAATGTACTATATTTATGTGACGAATCATTAATGACATTCCTCTCGTGAATGTTATGTCACATGCATGACTAACATAAGATGCTTCATGCCAATATGAATGCTTTAATAACTACATAGATGAATTTAATGAGATGGACCAATGTAATCATGATAGTTATGTATATGAGATGCTTGTGAGATCTTGATGTTCAAGTTTTTGTATCATGTGTAGTCAAATAGATATAATTAGGCAACTAAACTGGAAATCAAATGATGAGTAAGGACTATGTGGCTTTAAGGTCTAGAATGATGATTCCTAGGACCAAGTGGCCACAATAAATGTGGTAAGGGTGGCAATGATCATTTTCGGTTGATAAGAATTCATGGTAGATATGATATCTCACAATTGGCCACAAGTTAGTGAACAACCATACTTTAATATAGTAAGGTCTATATGAATCAAGTTGTTTTGTTAGTAAAGTGTTATGCCATGATGTCATACATAACAAATATGTATAAATAATCAGTCATGTTTTGATAAATTCTTTTACGTTTATTTGCGCTAACTAGCTAATGATGTGAGGTTGGTTGATCTCATGAAACATTTTACTTCGATCAAATTGAGTTTACTGTTTCTATGATATTACAAGATCATAAGTAATTGCGAATCATATATTGCTTTTCCTATTGCTATTTTAGCTTCAATTCCATAATAATTATGAATTCTCTCATAGCTCACCCCATAAAAACCTATATTCCCTTTAAATTACTTCCGATGAATATCATTTCTTCCTTAAATATACATTATTGTAGTTCATCCATGTTCTCTTAAATTGCATTTTTTTAACTGGATGAACTCACCATATTTTCTCCAACATATTGCAACTAGAACAAGAATGAAATGTAACATGAAAGTGGTTTCAAGAAGAAGGCAATAATCTATTTTTTTCCATGTAAATAATTAAATCACCATCACCTAACTATAATCTTTTAGCAATCATCGCACAACCATAATCTTTCAACTATTTCACTCCAAAAACATCAATGCTTGACAATTTAATCGTTTGACATATTTGCTCTTCCTTTTTTTAATTACCTTTAATTATATACTAATTATTTTTTAAATTAAAGTACCACTATTTGGTTGTTTAGTATCCATAAGCACATTATCTTTTTCTTAATTTAGATAAATGAATAAAATTTAAGATTTCCACAATTATAAGATTTAAAATCCATATCTTAATTTTCAAAATATAATAAAAATATATTATCAACATAAAATTTGCTCCATCTATCTAATTTTCTAAATAAGAATAAATAATTTTATTTTTTAAAAGAGCATAATATGATAAATAACATAATGTTATTTATTGATATGAATAGAGCATTGTTTGGTTTTAGAAATCAACTATAACTTATTATTACAAAACCGAATTATTCTGCTAAATCACTGTGGCAGCTTGTTGATTTTACAGTACTTATATTCCTTAAATTTCTTGGACTTAAACTTGGCCTGATTCTCATCATCTAGCAGCTCCGGCAGTGGGCCGATGATCTTCTCCGGCGGCGGCGAAACAAAAACCGGCCATGACATCCTCGTCTTCTCCTTGTTCACAGTTGTTCTGTGCAACACACTTTTGTATTTTCCATTGCTTAAGATCTGTGTCAATAAAAGACTTACAAATATAAGATGACTTCAACTAATTTAGGTTGGGATTCATAAAACTTATTTCTATTGTTAAGTAGGAGGTTGCACTATTTCTTTAAGATCAAGGAAAATTTACATGCATATACACCACACAATCCTTATGTATTTACAAATTTAATACCCATACTTTCATATTTTACACTTCTTACCCCTTGTTGTTATAAACTTATGCATGAAAAAGTATATTTCACTTTTAAAAAGCAAATAATATTGGCATTATTCACGCGATCTTATAGATTTGAGTGTTATGCATGCATATATGAAAATTTAATTATTAGAAATGTAATTACAAGTCTCATAATTTAATTGTGATAAAGTTCATGGTTTATCACTAATATTATAAGAACAATAAGAGCAATTTACTATTAGTGGAATGAAGCAAACATCATCTCTGAAGGAAGGATTAGGGCATACCTCAAGTTGATCCCCAATGTGAATAATGAGAGCATTAGGAATGTAGTTAGCATCAAACCAAACATCATCTCTGAAGACTTGCAATCCAGGGACTTCATTAGGGACCAAAATGGTAATTGCAGATAGGTCAGTGTGGGCCACCACTCCCAATGCTAGATCTGGTCTAGGGCATGGAGGGTAATAATTTATTTTCAATAAATATTCAATTTCATCACCACCCAAAGCCATCTTTAATACATGCCCTTCAAGCCCTAATCCCTTGGACAGCCACTTCAACAAATTCTCAACCAGAGTGAGAAGGTGCTGAGCATATTCCTCATTTACCTTCCTATTATTGTCAATATATAATTAAATAAAATCAGTATATATATGTACAATAATAAGAAAATATTAAATACAAAAACACAAACTTAGCTCTAAAAAAATTAAAAAATTTTATTTCTTTAGTGAATTTTCTCGAAATCTCTTTAGAGACTTAAGCCTCGAGTAGGGGTGTAATTGATCTAAGCCGAACCATGAGATGGCTGAAGCTCGAATCGGTAAGTGGTTTAGTTCAACTCGATAAACAAACAAGTAGAACGCAAGCCAGCCCCTACTCGACTCGTTGCCTCGTGTGTTGGCTCGTTTAAGAAAATATTAATATAAAATATGGATTTCACTATTGAAGAATGTGATGAGTGATAACTAGGGCGGTGTGCTCGTAAAAATGAAAGTTTTGGCATGAATTACGTA